AGTTCTCTATCCACTTCACCGACCACTCATCCAGCCCACACTTCCTTAGCTTCCCTAGGAGGCTATCATGGGAGACTGTGTCGAAAGCCGTGCTGAAGTCAAGGTAGACAACATCCACGGCTCTCCCTTCATCTACCCAGCCAGTCATGTCATCGTAGAAAGCTATCAGATTGGTCAGGCATGATTTCCCCTTGGTGAATCCATGCTGACTACTCCTGATAACCTTCTTTTCTTTCACTTGTTTGATGATGGCATCCAGGATAAGCTGCTCCATCACCTTTCCTGGGATGGAGGTGAGGCTGACCGGCCTGTAGTTCCCTGGGTCCTCCTTCTTGCCCTTTTTGAAGATTGGAGTGACATTGGCCTTTCTCCAGTCCTCGGGCACCTCTCCTGTCCTCCAGGACCTTTCAAAGATGATGGAGAGTGGCTCAGCAATGACATCCGCCAGCTCCCTCAGCACTCGTGGGTGCATTCCATCGGGGCCCATGGATTTGTGGACATCCAGATCACTTAAGTGATCCCTCACACAGTCCTCGACCAAGGGAAAGTCGTCCTCTTTGTTGTTCCCAGCAATGAAGAAGAAAGAGCTGGCAAAACACCCAAAGAATACTTGCTAAATTTCCAAAAAGAATTTGAGAGCTTACTTTCTTGTTTGACATCTGAGTTGCTATTGGGTTCAGCATCTATGTTACTAGAATTCTAGAAAAGGAATTAATAATACTTTCTTAATGATGGTGCTGGCTGATTTCTCAGTGGTAAAGATTGTAAACACCATTATCCAGCGTATTACACTCACAGGATGACTACTTATGCATTTAAAATACTCCATCTTAGCTTTGTATTAGCAAAATGCTGGTAAATATACTGTGAAGTCACTTAACTTCTTTATCATTGCATATTGGCCATAGCTTTAGTCATCTAAGCAGATCTTTACTCACAAACTTCTAGGGGGTGTTTCCTGTTGTAACTTCCAAGTATAGTTTGAAAGGAGCCTTCCTGAAGTGTATTTTCTTCTAATGACCACAGTGCTTATCTGGTAAACTTTGCTTGATTTTTTTTCAAGATGCTGAATATTTGAATGAAGAAGTTGAAGATGCAGGGTGACACTTCAGTACGTGATACAACTGAGTCTTCTAAATTAGACCTGTACCATTCTTCATACATAAACATGAATTCAGATTTTTATTAATAGAAGTTCTATACAGGCTTTGGGGGATTGATTTTACTCAAATGGTTCATATAGATTTGCTTACATGAAGTTTACATTGTGTGTGTGCATATATGTATTTGAAATGTTGCGAACTTAGAATATTTTTGCATGGCATAAAGCTTCTTTTCTTTCAATACTTTCCAAGAGCTATGCTCCTACTTGCTTGACGCACTAGTATTTATACTTTTATTTTTCTTTTGGTCAGTTTCAGATGTGAATTCAAAATTGCCGAATCCTTTAATAGAAACAAGTCCTAAACCGCTGACCCCAGTATCAGTAGTTGCATCTGCATCATCTAGCCCTTCAGTGGAAACAGATAAAAAATTGGTCACTTCCCCTTCAGTTACTGGTGATAAAAATGACTCTTTAGTGAAAGATGATCTGGAAACTCCAACACTATTGGAGAAAAGTTTTGATAGAGTGGGAGACTTGAACAATGAAACAAGAAAAAGAGGCTGCTCTGTAGTAAGTGAATCTAGAAGCAGGAGCAGTTCAGTGAATTCTGTGGACAGTGGCTCTAGCTTTATGATATGTGCAGACCAACTTGATCAAGAACTCATTGTAAAGCCAATTAAAGTGAAAAAGAAAAAAAAGAAGAAACAAGGTAAGTCTAGCAGAACTTTCCCTGCCACTGCTCTTTATTAGAACATGTCGCTTTTGGTGTTTCACCCAAGAGAGTTTGTGTTTATATTGTATTGTCATGCTCTTGAGATAATTTGAGTGGTTGTGGTGGGCCATTTACATTTTAAGATGAAAGCCTGTTTTGAAAGTGATAAATGAAGTCTTTTTAGATCTATTTGTTTTAATCTTTTAACTTAGTTTTGCTTTATGTAAACATGCTTAAGGTTCTAAATATATGGGTTAATGGTAACATACAGTGGGCTCTGCTTCCAGTCTTATGTTGGAATTGTGTAATATGTATTCCTCCTATTTAGAATATGTGACAGTGTTTGTCTTAGCCATGCTTTTTAGTTTGTTAAAATAGCGTGCATATTTGATTATTATTGTTTACTATATTGGTATTAGAACTTTAAAATGTTTTGCTGTTAAGACTTTTTTGGCTTTGTATGTATCATTTGGTGTTGAAGTTGGAAAAAAATCAGTATGTGAAAATTTAGATTTAACTCTATTCTTCCTCCAGTGTTAAAAATATTTTTATTTCTTACTTTGCATCAAAATGTAATAGATTTTATTAATATTATTTTCCCTTCCTTTTTCTTTTTGGTTTGTTTTGTGAGAACAGAAAGTGGGACTAGGAAAAACCACAGCTCTCTGGAAGGTACACCAATCTATGAGCGTCAGCTTTCTGGTGATAGTCCACATTCATTGAATGCAGACTCCTTTTCCATGACTTCCAGCCTGATGAGTGGCAGCATTGACCGTTTGAGTACTGGATCTCCAGATCAGGAAAGCATGTTCAGTGTGGAGTCCCATACAATCTTGCAAGAAGATAATGGTTCAGAAACTTTCAGTGTCCTACAGTCTCCTGAGCCTGCAGCTGTACTGATTAATGAAGAAAATGGAGATACGGTTGATTTACAGAAGCTTCCCAACAGTGACAGTGGCATGGATACTTCAGCTGTTATAGATACTCTGACATCTGTCTCTCCTCTAATCCTCACGAAAGACTTGACAAACAGTGTAGATGGTGAATCTAATGGTAGTGTGGTTTCTGCAAGCAATGAATGCTGTACTGGAAATCTGAGCCAAGAGGAGGAGCAGGATTTTCCCACATTGTGTAAAATAGATGAAAATTTAGGTAAAATGAAGCTGCAGGATACTGAGAAATCTTTTGAAGAGCCAGACCTTACAGACCAAATGTTTCTGGAATGTGATGGCGTACTAGGCATTCAGACATCCCTGACACCAAAGGAAGGTGATGAAACTGGTAGGGAAGACCAACAGCAGCTCTCTCTAATACATAGCGCTCTGTCAGATCCGTCTGTGTTCCACTTTGATGTTTCCAACGATGTTTATTCAGATAACACTTCCATTTCTGGATGGAATTTTGAAAGTGCAATCAAAGCTAAACCTAGTACTAGTACTGCTGAATGGATAACAGACACTCACGAAAGTAAGGCGGAGAAATCTGCCTCAAGTGATGAAGAGGATATTTATGGACATGGATTACCGTACTCATCCTCGGAGACTAGCATGCCTGAAGTTGATGCTGGGCCTGGTTCCCAGGATATGGCCAAGACAAGCCTAGATGAAATGGTGCTGTTAAAATCTGATCAGGTATAAGTTTTCAATTTAATTGCCACAATTAAAAAATTAACATTTATGTAATTACTATCTTTTACTTCTTTAGGAAAACCAAGTAAACAAGGAAAGCATAAAGCAAAACAGCAATATGTGTTGTAACTCTTACTTCAGAGTAGTTGATGTGCACTGACAATGTGAAGAAGATTCACCAGCTGGTTTATTCCCAGCTCAACAAAAATGCTCTCATAAACCCATCCATTAAAGAAAGAACATTAAAATCAGGTCATGCGCAAAGGCTGCTGCTTGTTTGGGTCTCCAGTAGCCCAAATTCTATACAGGGCTGTTCCCAACTTCAACTGACTTCACAGGGAATTAATGCTGGTTATCTCTCATGGCTGGCCTCTGGTTAAGGATTGTTTTACCTGTAAATACTCAGAATAAGGGTTAGTCTTTCTTTATGTCCTAGACAGCAGTTAGTAATATTTGGAATGTTGACATTTTTCCTTTTTCTGTCATCCCTCTTTCCTTCAATATTATTTTGTAGGTGAACATTTCCAGAAATAGTAATTCTCATATAGACTATAGAAAAGAAGTACTAAAATTAATTGTAAAATCTGCAAAATTGCCAAAATCATTGAAGTCTTAAGAAGAGAATACAGTTCTTACAGATTTAAAAAAACAGATCAGCTCGAACCTAGAACAGCCTTGCATTGAAATGAACCAAATATTTGTTGATAAAGGTTGAGTTGTAAGTTCATGGTATCCTATTTAGTAACAACTGCAGCCCAAAGTGTAGAAGACTTTTAGTTTCAGGTTGTTGTACTGTTATGCTCTGAAATGTTCAGAAAAGCTCCACAGATGCTTACATTATAGGTCATGTTTGCAGTGCTTGGGTTCACCTCGTGCAAGCGATCAGAATCTAAGGTAGCAGTCTGTAAACCAAATTTCTGTAATACGTAGCTCCGGTACCGTACAGAGGGTATTGGAGTTGGATTTTTGGCTGACTCTGTGCTCCAGCTGTCTTGTACCCTTCGCTTATTACTTCATGGACAATGAATAATTTCCTGGACTACAGACAGACTGTACATGTTCATGAATTCCTTTTTGCATCTGCTGTTTCCTTTAGGTGTGTGTTCTTTAATTAATAAGGGAAGATTTTCTACTTTTTGGAGGTAGATGACAGTGTGGAGGTGGTGGGTGGTTTTGGTTGGGTTTTTTTGCTAAAGCTTTTGTTCTTATTTCATAGTACATACTATCTTAGAGAATGCTGACAGATGTAGTTTTATTTTACACAAGGCAAATTTATTCATTGATTGAGGTACTTAAGAACCTTGAGTTTAGCTTTCTTAATAAAAATAGGGGAGCTGCTGTGCTTATCTAGCCATTTGCTTGTGCAGTTTGGAGACGCCTGACGCTGTTCTGACTGTGCAATTTCTAGTTTGCAGAGAGCTGGATGGGGTACTCCGGCCCTGGCTGCGGCATCCTGAGCCTGGCCATCTCGGAGAAGCACATCTGGTGCCTGGACTGTCGCGGTGGCCTCTTCTGCAGTGCTCTGCCTGCTGCCGCGCCGCGCTGGCAGCGGTTCGAGGACGGCGTCCAGCACGTGGCGGTTTCACCCTCAGGTCAGTTGGCTTCCACTGCCCGGCATCCCCCGAAATGCAAGGCTTGCTTAGGCTCCTGTGTTTCCTTGGCTTTTCATATTTTTTTTCATAAAAGCTGTTATTTAATTAGGCGAAGCTTGTCGTTTTTCTGAGATCGCAAATACAGTTTGGCGCATATGCAATTTCCACATAGGTAGTTTATTGTTTTTCTGTTTAATACAGTGCTTCCAGAAACTTGGTTGTTTGGGGCTTGTTTCATGTAAAAGTAGCGTGTTTTTTTTTTTTTAAAAAAAAAAAAAAAAGTCATCCTGGGTGATACAACTGCATCTTCTCTACCTCTGCATACCAAGCTCTGGTTTAAGAGGCTGTCTTTCTAACAGGTTCACACTGCATTTTGGGAAGTTTTCAACATGTGGCTGCCTGATTAAAGTGAACTTCAGAAGTAGCAGTTCAGTGATAGGCGGAGATGAATGAAGAGATCTTTGTCTGTACCAAGCTTTGAGTTTTGATATAGAACTGCTTATGATTCCCAAATTTAAAATTCTTTTTGTTCTAAATGTAGAATTGGTTTTGTGTATGGGGTTGTTGGGGATTTTTTTGGGGGGAGTGGTTTAATGCTAAAGGAAAAAAAAAAATGGTTTTGGTGTATTTGTATATGAGTTTGTTATGGGTGGTTGGGAATGAGGGTTACGTTGGATTATAATTAAATGCGTTTTCATTATAAACTTGCGTCACTTCTGGCCTTCCAGATTGTTTCAGGACTGGTGTGAAAATGCAGATTTCTCAGACATTTTCTTTACTTAGTCTGCTGCCTTGCTGCTATATTTCTTCCCCTGTCATCTCTAAAAGCACATGTCAATCTTCCCTTCTCTCTGTAGAGGAAGATGTGCTGTTAGTTTTAAGAAAAAAGGTGTTCTATTTGATCTGTAGCTGAACTTTGTTACGGACAAAAAAATTGAAGAGTGGCAGTACTAGGTGAGATCGTAGGTTCATCCAGCTCAGTATCTTAACAGTGGCTAGAAGCAGATGCCTGCAGAAAAGTAAAAGGAATGGGCTAGCATGTATGATGTTTGCCCTTCATAGTTTCAGATGCAGTTGTTGGTGCCTCAGAGGTTTCCTGGGCAAAAGGTTTCTCTGCATTTATTATTTCTCAGTTCCAAGAACTCACCCAGTTTTTCACTGAATCCATACAAATTTCTGACATCCACAGTTTGCCATGGATGTATTAACACAAGAGCATGTTAGCCACAAACATCAAAAGGGAATTAAGTGTTACTTTGTGTAATTGTTCAAACGAAGTTAATATGCCAGTGTACTGCTCTGGTACGAACCAGCCAATCACCAGTAAAGTTTGGAATGCCATTTGGTTTTCTTTTTCTGAGCTGTCCTTGCTAATTCGAGTGTGTGTGGGGGAAGTTCTCAGGATGGATTTATGCAGTTGCATTTCTGAGTTTTGTCTGCTCGTGACGTGCTACGTAACAAGCAGGTAGTAGCACTGCCCGCTGTGGCGTGGGACAGCTCACCTGTTCAGGTGTCTGCAAAAGTTATGATTTACTATTAGTATTTGTAAGAGGTGAAAGTACTACAATTAACCCCCTTTCCTTTATTTACTGAGGATGTACCAAACTAGTACAGAAGCAAGCCATGAACTTCAGTATCTTAATAATAGGCTTATTTGGCCTTGACATGGAACTTGTTTTGTTTGCTAGTTTTCAGGGTGTAACTAAGAAGAGGTGATTTGCCGTTGAACACTTAAAAATCACACATACTCTAATGGTAAATGCATTTCAGCAATTCCTAGAGAAGTTGGCCGTTGTTCTGGTCTTGCTTTTAAAAAAAAATTATCAGTGTTTTTAAGTCTTGCATTTTTGTTTAATGCTACTGGTTTGCCTTTCGCCTCACATTAGTGAAGGTGTAGGTAGGACAAGTCGGCTGTCTCTGTTACAGTAATTGCTAAGTGATATTTTGTGCTCTCTTAACTCCTCGTACAGGGGCTCTTCTCTGGAAGATTGAACAGAAGACTAACAAAGCATTTGCTTGCGGAAAAGTAACCATAAAAGGAAAACGCCACTGGTATGAGGCTTTACCCCAGGCTGTATTTGTAGCTTTAAGTGATGACACTGCCTGGATTATCAGAACAAATGGAGATCTGTATCTGCAAACAGGTACCTGAATTAACTACAGACTCTTTGAATTTTTGCAGCCTAAATTTATTAGAATTCAAGACTGTGGAGTGATCACAGTTTGTTTTAGACCTTTATCCATAGCCAGGATACAGGGAAATCTTCTTGTCTTGAGAAATGGTTGGAAGCAGTTGTGAGATTCTGTGTAATTAGGAGGCTGGAAAAGGCAGTTTGTGGCAGCTTACTTTTTGTGCCGAGTGGAGTACACACAACCTAGAGAACTGATGACATGGGAAGGATATGGGATGGATGAAAATAATTGGAAGAGGATTGCAGAAAATACTGAAATAACATTCTTCCCTTGAAAATGGTGTGGTGCACTGAAACAACTGAGCCTTAAGTGGATTTTCTTTTCTTGCTTTAAGGATTTTAAGGAGGACTGTGAAAGGCAGTGAGATAGTGTGTGGCTGTTCAGAAGAAATTCAGGTATGGGGGAGCAGAGTAGGAGGAAGTAGAAGCTGTGTGTTTTGAAAAGCACAGATCTGTTGGAGGCAGGAGTTACCACATGATAATGGAAGGAAGGTATCCTGAGACAGATGATCATAAAGTGGTTTGGAAGTATAGACGAGTGGTACGTATTTTATGTGACAGAGAAAGCAAAGCCAGTGGAGGAACGGAACAGGCTGTGGAGTCTTTACAGCTGCCTTCTCACTGGATGTGCGTGAGGCAAGAATCAGAAAAAGGGATAGTGCAGTGGCAACTGTGAAGTCATGACCTTGGTTTTATCTGCTTCAGTGAGTAGAAGAGGATGCATCTGAAAGGTGTGATGCAGAGAATATTCAGGCTGAATACAGGGACCTAGAATGAAGGATGGATCTCCCAAGGTTTAAAGCTAAGGGAGAAGAGCATCAGGGACACTTGGGCATGCTGGGCTTTGCAAAGAGAGCTGAGTTGGTAAGGAAAAATTACAAATAACATGATGAAGGAATTACTGTAAAAGTAAGAGGAGGATTGGGTAAGGAGGAAACAGTAAGACACACTAAAGCAGGATGACATTTCGGAGTGGTTATCAAAATTCTTACTTATCTTCCATTTAATTCTGGTAGTCTCCTGATTTCTCTTGTAGGTTTAATTGCTGTAGCACTATATAGGCATTCTTCATGATTAAGAAAACTTTAAATACACAGCATTGTTTCAAAGATACTCCTAAATTATATACTTTTTAACTGAGTTTAGTAGTTACAGAGAAATTACGTGGCCTGCCCAAGTTCACATGCATAGTGCAAAAAAGTGTGGATAGAGGTGATAGTGAACTTCTGATGCCAATCACACAGGGCTCTCTGGAGGTTTGAATCTATTTTTCTTCCCTGTGAGAGATTGGTTTGATTACACCAGCTTACATTCTGCTATTCTTAGGCTTCTAGACTTGTCTTTGATGCCAAAAATAAATTCTCAGTGTATCTGACTTGTTCATGACAGGCAGCCAGCGATAGTTGTTTCTCCAGATTCTTTCCATTCCCTGCACTGTCCTGTCCAACTTCTGCAACAGAAGTGTGTGCTCAGGGGTTTGGAAATGAGCGTTCTTGTTGTTTTAGAATATCATACAGATGAGTCTGTTCATACCTCCTTTGGCAGCATGAGAAGATTAAGCAAAAGCTGTGTCGCTTGGGGTATTTCACATGCAGCTGTGTAAATCAAGCTTCAGTGTAATTGTGAAGAAGACACGTTCCTCTAGGTTCTGTGTATAAATGTGTGTACTAGTACTACACATTGTGGCATGCTTTTGTGATTGCTCTGCTGCCACTATTCAGATCAAGTTGCCTCTCTCCCTGGCGTGTTTGGTGCAAAAGTTCTTCCATTACTGCCTTTTTCTTTGGTGCTTCTGCCAAGTCTAATACAGGTTTTATAAATGGAGATTCCTGATGCTGACACTAGAGGGAGAAAAGGAACAGAAATGACAGGACAGCACTTGTGCGCTCTGCAGGATGGTGAAGGATACACAGTGTTTTATTTCTTAAAATATGAATTCATCTATATCAGAGGAAATGATTAATAGTTTATAGAAAGAACAGTCGATCAAGGGAATAATGATCAAATGAAAAATGTTAGCATGTCAGGGATATTCCCCTCCTCATTGTCTTTTGTTGGGTAGCTTTGTCTCTTTTCTTTTAGTTGTAAAAAGCCAAAGTTTGTAAAGCCATTCTCCTTTTTTGATTCCTAGGCCTGAGTGTGGATCGTCCTTGTGCGCGAGCAGTCAAGGTTGACTGCCCTTATCCACTGTCGCAGGTTACATCCAGAAATAATGTTGTGTGGGCACTGAGTGAGCAGCGGGCCCTGCTGTACCGGGAGGGAGTACGCAGCTTTTGTCCTGAAGGAGAACAATGGAAGAGTGATATTGTCAGGTACTTACACAGTGGTGGGACAGCATCGTAGCCAGAATGACACAATTAACTGTGCTCAGTGCTGTAACTCCTTGGTGTTTGAAAAAGTGTTACCTGAACTGATGTGTATGCATATATGTGTGTGTGTGTATATGTCCTTTAGTCTTATTCCAGACATTCACAGTAACTGTTGATTTGCTGTCTGATGAATGACTGCTACATAATGAAAGAAATTGCCATAAACAGAAGTGGTAACACAGTTAAAGCAAGTTTAAGAAAGTGAGAACAATTTTTAAAAGATCTTTATAATGTCTGTCAGTATGACTTTTCTGATTAAATACTGTTTCTCTAATCTGTGTCATAATGGCTTTAATGAGCTCTCCAGATATTTGAGTGAATTTTTTCTGAGATTAAATCTCAGCATTTTCTTGGTCATCCACACAGCTGGATAATACTTTTCTGCTTCGTGATCACAGATCTTTATAAATATTCTGGGTAGCTGGCATCTAGCTTTGACGTTAATCCTACGCTCGTGATAGTTTGTGATAAAGTTAACAGTGCTGAGTGTTTACTGCTGGCTTTGAGAATCTAGAACATAGTCTCTCTTGTGACATCAGCCTTAAGCAAGTATAGGAAGAAATTCTGGTTCTTGTCGTTATATGGTTTTATCTTCTATTCAGTATCCTGCTGTGAAGCTTTAACTTCTGTTACCTCCCAGCCTGGTATTTGGCTCTTGAAAAGTCTATGGTAATATTCAGTGTCTTGTTCAAATCTGAAATTTGCGTGTACTTTAATTAGTTTATTTAAAGAAAATATTTGCTTGACCTGCACCTTAGGTACACTTAATGTTCTTGAGCTTTGTATTAAAATAGCAGAAAGCAATCCCTATTTGTTCTTAAATTGTTGAGAAAGGTTCTCTGAAAGAAATGCCATTGTTGGCTACCCTTCTGATCTGATACGATCACTTGATCTTGTTGACTTTCTGAGCTTGAAAATTGTTTCTTTCTGCAGGAGACTTACAGACCTAAACTCAACATTTATCTTTGCCATATAGCTAGGTTGAGCATTCTATTTATGGCCTGCTAGTATTGTTCTCAGAATAGGTCAAGGAAGTTGGAGGAGACAGATTTATGAAGCTGCTTTATCAAAACCTTAAAGAACACAGCTCTTTATTTCTTATTTACTCAACAAATTAGTTTTTATTTAGTTTTATTGTTATACGTCCAAGTTTCAAATCTCCAGTGATCTTTGAAGGACTTACTTTTTTTGTTGTTGAATAGTTTTTAGTTATGCAAACTAATAAAATTTGAATTACTGAATAACTGTGAAAATTTGAAATAAATGTGGTTTTGAACTTGGCCACACTGAGTTCGATCATTTTGAACCTCTGTTAGCGTTGTAACAGCTTCCTTAAAATACTACAAGCGTAAATTTGAAGTAAGGTTTTTAATTTTTTTAATTTTTTGCATTTCCAGTGAAATGCAAGCTTTGGAACCAGTGTGCATAACCCTTGGAGATCAGCAGACATTATGGGCTTTGGATATCCATGGAAATCTGTGGTTCAGAACTGGTATAGTTTCAAAGAAACCACAAGGAGATGATAACCATTGGTGGCAAGTAGGCATTTTGTTATTTTGCTTTCAGTTTAGTCTTTTACCTTGGGTTTATTATTTGCCTTGTTTTCCCTTGAGATTCTAAGATAAAATTCAATTAATTGTTTGATGTATTCTAGCACTCTCTATTCAGTATATTAAAACTGCAGTGTGGCTATGTCTGAAATCCCTTTTCACGTCTGCTGTAAAAAAGGGGAAATGAAACATCCCATGGTCATCCAGAGCAGCATCACAGCAGTTTTCAAGAACACAAGAAATGCTCTACTAGGTTGTATCAATGATGCATGTAGCTTGGCATCTTAACAGGACATGCTGTTTAGGCAGAGCATTCAAGTCTGGCTGCTGAATGCAGTCTCTTCTCGTCTTGCAGTACCCATCCTTTTCCATAGCTAGATGAAATAAATAATAAGTAACCTTGCAAAAAATTTTCTGTTACCTGTTTTTCCATTCAGTTGAGGTTTCTTCGAACCGCGTGGGGCTGCTTGCTTCAGTGCAGATCATGTGGGTAAAACAACTCAGTTACTGCAAGCAGTCACCTGGTGTTGATTTAGAATACCCAAATCTTTGTTTTGCCCAGCTTTTCTTATTTTCCTCAGAGATCGGGATGGGGAAGAAAGGGGTACAAAAACGGTTATACAGAAAATTTATTTTTCTACATGTCTACCTAAGTTAAAGGAATTTCAGTTTATTTGCATATATAATCTCTTCTTGCATGTGGGCATCATGAATAGCTTGGCTTTGAGGTTATTGGCAAAGTGCTCTTCTTTTTGTGCTCTTATGCATTTCCTTCCTTTCTAGGAGTATCCCAGAGTGTTGCCAGCCTAGTTGTCCATGACAGAACTTGGGCAATTACTTATTTAGACCTCCTTCTGCCTAATGAATAAAAATGCCCACGAGGTTGTTGTAAAGGAGTATTACATACAAGTTTTTGCGATGTGGTTCAACTTGCTACACTATGCAGGTTTCTCTCTTCCTTTGGGAAATAGAAAATTCACATCTTCGTTTATGGAGTTCAACATGTTTTTAGGGGGAGAAAAGAAATCTCATTACAAAACAAAGAGCTTTCTTAAAATGCAGAATTCAAAGTGGATTGGGAGAGATTCAAAGGGAGTTGTAAGCTGATGTTTAATATTGGTTCTAGTTTATTATCAAGACTCTTACTTATTCAAAATGTACTGTTTTTATTTTTCCCTTCCTACACTTTGAAGTTTTGTAAACTCTTGGTAGATTTCCTGTGTGTAAAGCATACACACACAAAAAAAGCTTCTGATGAAAGGTTCTGCAGTTCACCCAAAAGATTAACTAATTATCAAAACCACCTTCCCCCCCCCCCCCCGGTGCATCACTGATTATGTAGTGTTTGACCAGTGCAGCCTGTTCCAGACGATAATCCAGGCAACTCATACAGTGGCAACAGCAGCTCAGGCGCCTGTGGAGAAGGTGGCCGATAAACTTCGAATGGCATTTTGGTCACAGCAGCTTCAGTGTCAGCCCAGCCTTCTTGGAGTTAACGGCAGTGGAGTCTGGATCTCTTCAGGCAAAAATGAATTCCATGTTGCAAAGGGAAACTTAATAGGTTGGTGTCCTTTTACATCTAATATTTTTAAGATAAGAAAAATAAATAGGAGAAAGTAACCCGCTACAGTTCTGTCACCACAAAAGTTATCCATGGTGAGTTAGGGCACCTTTAACAAAAAATTCCATGTTTGCAAATTAAATTCAATGATTAATTAGCATTTGATCTTAAATACTTTCCCAAATAAAGGGAAATATTTTTGATTGAAAATTCATTCTCCACAAGTGAACTGTGCACATTACTCCTTTTAGCACCTAAACTTGTCTCTGCTCTGGGGTGAGAGGGCAACCTTAAGCTATTGTACCTGTTACATCTGGCACAGTGGAGTCTGGTTTATGGTCGGTGTGACGGTGCAAAACAGTAATGTTATGCTTTTACAGGGATAATAGAGGAATTGCTGTATTTAGTTTTCTTGCTATGTTGTTCAAGATAGAATTTTGATTTAGTACATTTTTTTGATCATGGTAAACACTAAGAGTAGACCCAGAACGTTTTCTGTTTAACCTTGTCACCAAATTGGTCTCCTGTTGAAGACCGTTGATCTTCTCCCTTCTCCTCCTTTTCTGCATTCCCAGTTTTCTGTGGGTGTGTACATAAGTATATGTATGTGTCAGGAAGAGTTTTTCTCCTCCCCCACCCTGCAAACAGTTTCTTGAAAGATGTACACAGAAAATGTTGTCTAGATGATACTTAATAATTGATTGCAGTAGAACTTCTTTAAAATGGTAACGTTTTAAATAATGACATATTTTAATAGAAAATTAAGTTTCATACTAATACTATTCTATTCTTTCTTTCAAGGCACTTACTGGAATCATATTGTGCCTCGTGGTACTGCTTCTGCCACAAAATGGATTTTTGTGTTGGCTTCCACAGCTTCATCTAAAGAAGGTTAGTGAATCAACAGTGCAGGTGTATAATATCTGATTTTTAAACAGAGTGGAATTGATGGTGTAAGTAATTAAATACCCTGAATTACTTCAGATTGTGGGTGCATTTTCTATATGCAGGGATCTAAAATATTTGAAGTATGGTGGAAATACATCTGTAAAACTACTGGAGGTGAAAAACCCCATATCATTCACACTGCCACCTTTAGCGTGTAGTGGCATCCAACAGAGAAACGGGTAGTCCATTGGGAGCAGTAACTTCCTAAATTGCCGCAGCATGAATTGCCAGAAGTTGTAATGTGAAATCTTGGAGCATGCTTTGCTGGAATGCCTGTGCTAACCAAGTACTTCTGTCAATGCAGTTACTGCAGCAAAATTGCACATGTTATTGATAAAAATGTGACCACAATAAGGAATTAAACTGCTAGTTACAATAGTTAGCAGTTGTGTTATCTAAGTACACTAGTTTTATCGGAAAAAATGTGTGATTTAGAGCTGAAAAGGAATGCTGTTTTCAAAGGCAATTATCAAGGATAAAGAAGAGCAAAAAAATAAAAGGAAGTGATAGTGCACTGTTATGTATGTCTTTTCTCTGTTTCTTCAAATAAGATCACCCCCTTTCTCAAATCAAGTGAGTAAGTAGGTGCCTAAGTAAGGGCTCAGGATGTGTATTCTTGCTTCAAAACCTTACCCTATGAGCATAGCCAGGAAGCTATAGTTTCATCTTCAAATGTACTGATCGTTTTTCAGAAGACGTAGATGCCTAAGCTTTCTCAGAGTGGATTAGGAATGATTTTAATAACAGAAATGTCCTTTCTATAGGAAGCTTTCTGTGGCTGTGCCAGAGCAACAGGGATCTATTTTGTGTCAGTGATCAGAATCCTCAGTTTCGTCCTTCTACGGTGCAGCTGCCACCGGAGGCTGAAATGGTGCACTACTCTGCCTGCCAGGATGCCATCTGGGCCTTGGATACTCTTGGGCAGATATTTATCAGAACGCTTTCATCCAGCTGTCCAACAGGGATGCACTGGACAAAACTGGATCTCTCTCAACTAGGTATGACGTTTTTATGGAGGAGGCTCTCTCTTGACTCTCTTAGCGGACAGTCACTATTCTCCTTCAGAAGTATCTTTTGGTTTACTGATATGGAATATTACATTTGCTGGATTAAATCATACCTTACACTAATGGGCCTCACAGCTGAGGACCGTAAAACATCAGGAACAACTATGGCTTTCAAACAATGTTTAGTTTAGCCTTTTGCTAGAGACAGCGTGTTTACTGTTTGCAAGATACTTTATATGTATGTGCTTCTTACAGTTTGTCAATCTGAGACAACTCGGCCTGACAGTGCTGTGTAGGTATACCAGTAGCTTTAACTGGTCTAGGTCTTGTACTGCAGTGTAACTGTAATTGTGTGGCCCTGGGCAGTTCCTTACACAAGGCCCTGAACCTTGTGGTTAAACGCATTCTTGACAGATCGGTCAAAGCTTCTTTAGGATCCTGTCAAGGAAAAAATATGCTCCAAGAGTTGCATCAGCCATAAGTGATCCAGCTGATAACACTCTTATGTTTGGGTTTATACCGATCTAATGATTCGCGTGATGTGAAGAATATGCTGCTGGTTAACTGCTCTTTTTATTTGGTTAGGCATAACACCAAGGTTGTTGACCATGGTTTTTTGATGATTAAAATATCCTCCCAGTTTGGCTCTGGGGTAATCAGGCCACTTGTCGGCTTCATCGGTTATTTCTTTGATAGTCTTGACTGTCTTCATGCTAACCTGCATTACTGTTTCAAGAGAAGATAAAAAAAAATGAGACTGTGCACCATTCTTGCATCATTTTAAAATAATTCGACTGTTTTGCAGTTTTTCCATTTTTTGATGGCAATGTTTATGTCTGGTCTGAGAACAGACAAGGAATTTTAACTTCAGGGTTAAGGAAAGGCAGACACAGCTGGCAGAATTTAAGCCTCGTACAATTTTAGTATACAATTTGTAATACTTCATGGAAAACTTTTTAAAAGAAGTCTTTTAAAATTAATTTGTTTGCCAATTATACACCAGGTTTTCCAGACCTGATGAATTGGTTCCAAATCACTAATTGTACCATAGTTTAAGCACTGCTTGATGCCCTTGACCTTCGCTGACATACAGGATAGGTTTGTCCACTCTCTCCCTCTCGTGTTGCTTAGTAGAGTTTGAAACTTTTCTCATGATATTGTTGCTTTCCAGCAGTTTAGATAATAGCTGTTTAACTGAAATAATAAATAAACTGAAATAATAAATAGCTTCTTGCTATTCTCTGAAAATCTCAAAGCATTCGTAAAGGAAATCAGTCTAACTGGTGCTAGCTGACTGTAATACCTGGCTTGTGAACTTCAGAAGTTCAACCTTTACGTTCAGATGTTCCTGTTAGCTTTGCGGCACATGGTGATGGTATTGCAGAAATCTTGGGTCAGGAAATTCTTAAACTTTCCACTTTACCTGTCACTGTGTGTTAATATTTAAATGTGAAAATATTTTAGGCATTCTTCCTCCATTTGAATGCATACTGTAGATCACTGCTGTCAAGATAGTGTGTATCCATGGTTATAATATAAGTACCTTTATTCACTCTAATGGGGCTGAAGAAATTGGAGAACTATTGTTACTGCTCACGTGTATGTTTAAGTTTATTACTGAAACATTAGGGCTGTAATTTGAGGGGGGAGAATAAAAACAATCAAGTTGCTGTAAAATGCAATTTAGAGTTCTGTATGGAAGTGATGGGGTTGCCAGGCTTAATGGTGAAATATTCATATTATGTTGGTAGTGTCTTCCTCTTGCCTTTACACTATGTACTGGGAGTAGTATCTACGGAATCATTTTAATTAGGGTTCCACTATCGGTATCAAGGTTTCTAAACACAGTAGAATGACCTTTAGGTTTCAACAATAAACAATGCCTGTGAATCATGCTACTTTTTCTAAACAGTGGATGAATGTGGTTAGCGTGACCTTCTGCTATGATAAAAACAATAAGTGGGAGGAGGGAGAAACCCCAAAACATTTACATAAGGGCTGCATTTTTGAATATCAAATTGTACTGTGGACGTAAATAATATCAACTATGCCGAGTAGGTGATATGTGAGTCCATGTTTGAGTGCTCTGATGCTTGTCTGGATCAGAACATGTCAACAGCTGAGACATCATGTGACAAAGCCATTACTTCGAGTCATGCTTTATGTTAGAAGGAATAATGAGGTTTTAAGTAAGGTTTTGACTTTGTAGCTGAATGTTAAGCCTCTGCCTGCAAAAATAAGTTGTTCTAGATGTTCTCAAGCAGAAGTTTTTGTGTATAGTTTTTGTGTATAGTTTTGTCATTTGTTTTTAATAGGAAACTGCATGATTAAAAGAAGTTTTGAGGTCAGATGAATTGATTAGAATTCCTGTGATTCAGAAAGTTAAATATTTTTTATTAGTGAGAAGATCTGTTTACTATTACAGATAACTAAAAGAAAACTGTGTAGTCCTTTTGTTTCCAGTTCTTTCCCCCAGCATGTCTTAACAAAAGGGATATTGCCTACTGCGGAAATAAATGCTTTAAACTTGCCCTCTGTGGGATAAAATTGCACCCCTCTTTTTAAGGAACACTGTATATGATGCACTTCACAAGGATTTGTTGCCAGATTTCACATAACTGAAGAGAGAACCGTTACCAAGAATGGGATATCCCAAGCAGCACTGGCATGTTCAGTCAACCAGCGAGGCCTATTTTTAGAGTCTTTAGTTTGGAGTCTGACCAGAGCATTCCTTCTGTAGTATATCTTTGCTGATTGGGTCCCTCTTCCTGCAGAGCATGTTTTCCATTGCTTAGCATTGTGTTGTCCCAACACTGGCAGGAAAAAAAAATAAAATTAAATGTTATGTATATTACATTACATGGTTGTTTTAAAATGAACGTGAAAGAGTAAGAGTTCCAGTTGATAGTTAACTAGCAGTTCTTTATAGTCTAAAATATCAGGTATGCTTCTCTATGATCTTTAATAGCAAGAATGATTGATGTGATGGGGCGTGCAAAAAAAACCCAACCACCCCAAAATTCCAAAACATACTTACTCAGGAGCTTTGTTTTCATTGTGCTGACTTACATAGGGTTAAAATACTGCTGCACTTTTGAGATAGGTGTGATAAATATGTACATTGTTGAATATAAATCCATTTGAAAATCAGCTCCTTTATTTACAGATATGACACTAGTGTGTTAACACTGAAATGCATAATCCATATGCTCTCATATTTTTAAAGTGCTGGTAGCATTAGGGAATGTTCTTTGCTGAACGTATTAGCACATCAACACCTTTAAAAGTCTGCAAGCACAGCCAGCTACAAAGTTCACATTAGGTCATGTGAAAGTTTCTCTAGGCACTGATAACATTTGTCACAGAATGTTTCCCTGCTTGAATTTGGTTATTTTAATAGCATATTTTTAGTGTGCTTTAGAAATTGCAGTATCCTATGACTAAAATATTTATTTTTAGATTTGAAAGATAAATACCTCATATACGCTATATGTTGGTTTTATTCATTATATCCAGTGATTTTTTTTCTCTCACAAGTTTGATTAACTTTTAATCATTTTTATGAGACTGTGTTTAAAGCTAGTTTAACACAATCAAGTCTAAATAAAAGTTTTCATTATTAGCTGAATTTGAAAGGAAAATACCAGGTTGCTAATAGTCTTTTTGTTATTAGGTGCTGTAAAGCTGATCAGCTTGACCTGTGGAAATCAGCATGTTTGGGCCTGTGATACCAGTGGTGGCATTTATTTCCGTGTAGGAACTCAACCACTTAACCCAAGTTTGATGCTTCCTGCGTGGATAATGATTGAGCCACCCATACAGGTAAAATGTTGACTACAGTTCTTTGTAGCCCAGTGGTTTAGCTCTATACATTTGAAAAATAATAATTTTAAGACTCATGGAAAACAGTAGAGCCAGATTTCAAATGTGTAGCTTAAAACTTTGTCCCACATGTTTGAATTCTACAGGATTTCTCTCAAAAAAAAAAACCAAAAAATAAACAAACTACAACAACAAAAAAACCCAAACAAATAAAAACACCCAACGAAACAAAATCCCTCCCCTAGAGTCTGTATAGTGTACTCTGAATATGCCACCTTATCACCATAAGTCATTCCAAATTCATCTTTTGTTTTCCTTTCTGTTCTTAATGAAAGTTTACTCTTCTTGTAGCACAGCAACTTTACAGGCAGGTAGTAGAAGGCAGCCTTGAACTGTACGCTGAATACCTTCTATGCGCTTGCAGAGAGGCTGACCTGGCAAACAGCGCAGAGCAGAGGGGGAGGTAAGGCTCTGCTCCTGTGTCATGGTGCTGAAGCGCCTGCCTCCCTCCCTCTTTCTTTATCCTCACCCTTGATGAGTCTGGGATGCTTGCCAGGGTGCTGTGCCTAGATTTAGGGACTCCCCTTATCATCCACTGCAGTACAATTGTAGCTCTTCTCCCTTGTTCCTAGAATGGGCAAACTTTATGTCATTTCTACCTGCCATCTGAGAGGATGAGAGCAGAAAGAAGTCTCCTAAAGTACCCTGGGAGCATCTTTTCTGAATCTAGAGAATGGACAAAATATGTTTCTCTGGTGACTGGTTTATTTTTTAATCTCTCCTTAAACCTCAGTGCTTGCTTTTCTTGCTGCTCTGATACTTTGCAAGTTATGCTATGAAATGGGTGTAATTTCTGTGTTGTAGGTTGGGACTCCTGTAATGGAGCTGACCTCTGACTACTGATTTCATTCTTTGCTCCTTGGCATGAAATCACTTCAACTGACTGTTGATCTAGCATAGTAGCACTGGATGTGTTTGCATACTTGATTTACGTTTTATAATGTTACAGAATTTCTCTTGAAGATTTTGAAATGTGTGGTAGTTTTGAAAGGACATATTAAGAAATAAATCTCTGGTAGTGGAGTTGCAATAGTTTATTTGGCTTTTACATCATTCCCTTTCAGTTCTGGTTATCTCTCATCAGCCAATCATTAGCCCCTGCTGTGAATCTCAGGGTGTAAGAGCAAAGAAGGGCAGGGAAATGAATCTGCAGATTTGCATCCCATCAGTTAACCCAGCACTGGTTAGACTTGTTCTTCTGTGCTGGGAACATGGTCAGTCAGACCTGAAGAAAGTGGCACCTTGTTTTGCAGAAGAGCAGAGCAGAGTGGTAAAAAAGTACCAGCATAACATGCACCAAGGGCTACATTACGCTGCTCATTCTTTGTGTGCTGCAAGTGGGTCTTTCTGATGCAGTCTAGAAGAGACAGATTTTTCCTGCTAACAGGGTAGGGCAGCAGGCAGAGAAGACTGGGGATATCAGTGATGATATCCTCCATAAGGCTAGTATTCTTAAATAGGAGGGAAAGCACATTCCAGGATGTGTTCCACTTAAACGGAGTTTGCCAAAAGACACGAGAATTGAAGTTGTGTGGTATCCTTTTACCAAAGATTTGTCTGTCCAGGAAGGTAGCCCAAAAAGCTGGTTTTCTACACTGGTGCTATTTTGTCTGTACTAAGTGCATTCCCTACTCCTCCACTGAGGTAAATTAAACTACTCGGTACAAAGGTGTTTACAAGAAATTTGGCTTTGCCGTGGCTTATTACTTAGCAGTGACTTCCTTATGTAGAAAGTTTTTAATTGGACAAGGTTGAAAATCAAATTATTTCTTATTAGCTTATGGAGGAAGCTGGATGATGTTGCATTCTAAAATGATAACCTAACCTTTTGATACCCGGAGCAGTATCATTCTCTTTCCTGTTATCTTGCCAACACCTGACATAGCAAGTTTAATGAGTCAATATGAAAGGGCAAAAATTCAAACACTGCTTGAAGAGCAGGTGAAAAGTCATGGGTTACATGCTCTTTTTGAGACAATTCCAGCATGTTAAAACAAGTCATTAAAGTACTGAAGGAGCAGCCATTCATGTTTTTACAAAGGCTTAATGCAGAAGAAGAAAATATGTGAACTTTAAAATGATTTTTGAATGCTAGGTTAGTGTTTGGATAACGAACATAGCGTGATGGCTGAAAAGTGGACTGTTCCATGAACAATATTTGTTATTAGCAGCACCTTACTGTTATCTGCCCCTTAATTGACTTTGACAGAGTTCATGCTGCATGACTTTATCTTCAGAACAACAAATACTGTAAGAAGTATTTGTGAATGATTCAGTCATTTTCTGTTTGAAGAAGGAAATCAAAATTGCCTTTCACTTGCTTTAAGTACAGGAGCATTCTCAAATAACGTAATTTAAAACCAACTATGGATATTTCATTCCCTAGTAAATGTCAGAGCCAATATGACTTGCCATATCCCAGATCTCATGACTCGTGAGCAGCTACAGACTCTGCTTTTATGGTGTCATTTCTCGTTAAAGGAGTGCTGCAACTGCACAGCATCCATCTTTGCACAACTTCACAAAGGTATTCAGGGACAATAGTTTTGAGGAGATTTTACATTCACCGACTTTAGCATGAGTAACTTTAGTTCAGTCTTTGCTCTGTGATGCTGTATGCTTGGGATTTTTTTAATCTAGGCTAAAACCATTCTCATTTGTTACGCTTCCCTTTGTAACTCCCTACCGCAGTATCTCTTGAGATGAAAAGTAACATTTTATGTTCTCTGCCCTCGCTCTGCTTTATTTTGTCCAACACTTCAGAAGTGGTTGGTAACATCATTACAGTAGCTTGAGCACTAGTAGTTTATATGTAGATGTTTTCTGTGCTTCATCCATTCTGTTCTGCAGTCTTAGAAGTCAAAATAATTACATGGTTAAGCAGCTTTTTGGAAGCTGCTTTAAGGACATTTACAAAGCTGATCAAAATTATTTGAAATTATTTTAGTCCAGGAACTAGAAAATGTTTTTCATTCTGTTGTAAATATACAGGATAAAACTATTATCTGCTGTAATATGCCTTGATATTCATTAAATTTAATTAAAAAAAATTAGCAACAAATGTAACTATTATTTACGTATATCCTATAGAATATGTTTTTATATGTGTGTGCATGTATGCTTATGAAGATTTAATGCTTTTCAGCTTTCTGGTGTAAAGAGATAATAATTTAAAATTAAATATAAAATTAATATAGTCAAGAAGACTAATTTGGGTGATTATGGAGTTTTTATGCATAAAAACTGGCCTTAAGAACCACCTTCTCAGATTTACATTAAGGGATGTATCGGATAAGCAGAACTTTATTTAAGAGGATTAAAGGAAACAAAAATCAGGACAAGTGTTTGTAATGAGTGACCAGTCATCTGTTGCTTGTAAACAATTGATCTTACCCTAAAAATAGATTAAACATTTTATTAATTGCCATTCGCTTAATTAGAATCATAGAATAATTTAGGTTTGAAAAGACCTTAAAGATCATCAAGTGCAGCTGTAAACCGAACACTGCCAAGTCCACCACTAAACTGTGTCCCTAAGTGCCACATCTACACGTCTCTCAAATGTCTCCAGGGGTGGTGACTCAACCACTTCCCTAGGCAGCCTGTTCCAAACTGAAAAAGCAATTTTATTAAATTGAGAGGTTGAAGTATCCACATGGCTTGTCCGAACTGTGGAGTAAAGGGGGTTTATTTAAGGAGATGTTTATTGTTTGGCTACTCTATAGAGCTTTTGTTGATCCTTTGCAGTTCCTAGGGTCTCAGCGGAAGAGTGCCACTTAACTTAGTTTGCCATAAAATGGTCTCTTGCAGTACGTGCATTTCAAGTTAGAGAAACTTTTATTTACTACTGTCCCCATAACAACTTAGTAATTGCTCTTTATATTTTAACCTTGATATCACAGGTAAGAGAAGATAGTAGAAATTCTTACTGATCTAGGAGGAACTGTTTTTTTCTCACATACACACACAAAGAATTAAGGCTGTTCGCACTTCCACTGTCATTCAAAAACTGTTAAAACTGTGAAACAAATGGTAGTTAATATAATTTGAAATTTAGGGAATTTCTCTAATTCTGCAAAATCCATACATGCTAGATTTCTTTTTTTTTCAATACTGTACTTTCTCTTAATCTACGTTCAGCGTGAGCAGGTTGGTTGTGCCTTACGGATGAGTGGTGACTTGTTAGAAATGGTTGTCATGATCTTTGTTTCCTTTCCTCTCTTTAAAGTTCTGCTTATCTGACAGAACAGTTAATGCAAATCTGGAGACTTTCTTCCTCTGCCATCTGCCTTGCCTTTCCATTTTTCAGTATGGTTTCTATTATTATTAAGGCCAGTTACTTTTTAAGTGGAACTTACAGGAGGAAGCAGCGAGCACTCCTCGAGATCAGATTGTGCCATTAAATCTTTCTTGGTAGATGCCAAAATCAAAGCTGAAATGTAGGAAGGGTTTGTTTGAAATGATCTTCAAGGACTGGATATTTGGAGGAAGGGGATTTTCTGTTGAAAATGCTTCATAACTTTTACTTCAGAAGCATCCATGCTGCTTTTGAAAGTACTCCGTGGAAAATTGTACTTTCTAATACATAATCCACATCACTGTTCTTTTGAAGTCTGATTGTTTTCAGTAGCGCAGACTAGCTTACGTTACCTAGCTGTTGCACAGGTAGCTTTCTGAGTTGCTGTGAGTTCTGCTTTGGAGTACTAAGATGAGATGCAGAGGAAGTATCTTTTATTAGACCAGTTCTGGAGAGGTAATACACTGATTAAAGCCTTTTGGTTGTATGCAGACCAGACTAGCTAGTCTATTGTTCCATATAGCTTTACTCGTGTGAGGCCTCCTGAAGACGTTAATAGGGAGAGGATTTTCCTGGAGGACTGCACTTTTCAAGGTGACGCAGAGAAAAGCTGTATTTGGCAGTTGACAGAGTAGCTGTATCA